CGTATAGTACATGCATATTTGTATTGTTTAATGTGTTTCCATGTTAATTTGTGTTATGTTTGTTTTTAAATTTGTATCTTATTTATATCCGGATTGATTTATTAGCTTTAGTACAAAAAATTGTTAAAATTTGATAAATTATTTGTATTGTTAAAAAATTAATATTATTTATTTTGTTTGTTGTTCATATTTGTATTTTATGTTAGTTATTTTTATATGTAATAGTGACCTTTTAGCGTAGTAAAATAAATAGCTTTTTAGCGTAGTAAAATATAGAGCCTTTTAGTGTAGTGAAATATAGACCCTTTTAGTGTAGTAAAATATAGATCCTTTTAGCGTAGTAAAATATAGAGTCTTTTAGCGTAGTAAAATGTAGAACCTTTGGCGTAGAGTCTATGTAGTTTAAGTATGTAGTAACTACAAACTCTATTCAACTACACTTTACAAAATTAATTATTTAATTTATAACAATAAAATTACAAAAGTAACAAATTAATATATGTTGTAAAATTAACTCCAATATCGAGCCTGGAACCCATACATAATTATTCAGTTCAATTCAATAATTTTTAATTTAATTCCTTAAACTAACAAAATTCTAAAAATGTTGAAATTGACACGCATAATAATTAAGGATAACTCGGTGCTACCGGACCTAAAAAATCAAGCCTGGAACCCATACATAATTATTCAGTCCAATTTTAAACATAATTAATTATTTAATTTATTAAGCTAACAAAATTCTAAAAATGTTGAAATTGACATGCATAATAATTAAGGATAACTTGGTACTACCGGACGTCAAATATCGAGCTTGAAACCCATACATAATTATTCAGTCCAATATTAAACATAATTAATTATTTAATTTATTAAGCTAACAAAATTCTAAAAATATTGAAATTGACACACATAATAATTAAGGATAACTTGGTGCTACCAGACCTCAAATATCGAGCCTAGAACCCATACATAATTATTCATTCCAATATTAAACATAATTAATTATTTAATTTATTAAGCTAACAAAATTCTAAAAATGTTGAAATTGACACACATAATAATTAAGGATAACTTGGTGCTACCAGACCTCAAATATCGAGCCTAGAACCCATACATAATTATTCATTCCAATATTAAACATAATTAATTATTTAATTTATTAAGCTAACAAAATTCTAAAAATGTTGAAATTGACACACATAATAATTAAGGATAACTTGGTGCTACGAGGCCTCAAATATCGAGCATGGAACTCATACATAATTATTCATTCCAATATTAATCATAATTAATTATTTAATTTATTAAGCTAACAAAATTCTAAAAATGTTGAAATTGACATACATAATAATTAAGGATAACTGGGTGCTACCGAGCCTCAAATATCGAGCTTGGAACCCATACATAATTATTCAGTCCAATATTAAATATAATTAATTATTAATTTATTAAGCTAACAAAATTCTAAAAATGTTGAAATTGACACACATAATAATTAAGGATAACTTGGTGCTACCGGGCCTCAAATATCGAGCCTGGAACCCATACATAATTATTCAGTCCAATTTTAAACATAATTAATTATTTAATTTATTAAGCTAACAAAATTCTAAAAATATTGAAATTGACACACATAATAATTAAGGATAAATTGGTGCTACCGAGCCTCAAATATCGAGCCTGGAACCCATTCATAATTATTCAGTCCAATATTAAACATAATTAGTTATTTAATTTATTAAGCTAACAAAATTCTAAAAATGTTGAAATTGACACACATAATAATTAAGGATAAATTGGTGCTACCGAGCCTCAAATATCGAGCCTGGAACCCATTCATAATTATTCAGTCCAATATTAAACATAATTAGTTATTTAATTTATTAAGCTAACAAAATTCTAAAAATGTTGAAATTGACACACATAATAATTAAGGATAACTTGGTGCTACCGGGCCACAAATATCGAACCCGGAACCCATACATAATTATTCAGTCCAATTCAATAATTTTTAATTTAATTCCTTAAACTAACAAAATTCTAAAAATGTTAAAATTGACACGCATAATTAAAAATAACTCGGTGCTACCGGGCCTCAAAAATCAAGCCTGGAACTCATACATAATTATTCAGTCCAATTTTAAACATAATTAATTATTTAATTTATTAAGCTAATAAAATTCTAAAAATGTTAAAATTGACACGCATAATAATTAAGGATAACTTGGTGCTACCGGGCCTCAAATATCGAGCCTAGAACTTATATATAATTATTCAGTCCAATATTAAACATAATTAATTATTTAATTCCTTAAAGTAACACACACAATTAATTTTGTCTAAATTATAGTAGACGACATGGACTTTCCTCCGCGTGCGCATCCTGGACCTGCCGAGGATCAGCTACTAGTGTTGCACGGCGACCATAAGTCCTCCTTTGTATGGGAGGGACAACTATCGATGCAGGCTCTCCGCCTCAGGAAACCCGACGATTTGTGGGAGTTCATCGTGGAGCATCATTTTCATGCCCGCGTAGTCGTGCGCCTACAGGCTACGGGCTTCTATACGATTTTGGAGCTTGGACGGATGCAGCTTGATTGGTCTCTCATCACGGCCTTGGTAGAGCGGTGGCAATCGGAGACGCACACTTTTCATTTGTCCACTCGAGAGGCCACCATCACGCTGGAGGATGTTCATGTTTTGTACGGGCTGCGCGTAGATGGACGGGTTGTGGCACTGCCCGAATACATTAGATCCATGACGCGTGCGCAGTTTTTGGATATTATGGGGCAGTTTACTGGTTATACACCTCAGGGTGATGCTGGGGGCAGTCGCGTTGCTTTTTCAGCCATCAGAGATCATATGGCTGTTTTGCACCCAGACATTACCGGTGAGATGGAGGATCTCCATATTGAGAGGTACACGCGGTTGGCGTTGCTCCTGTTTTTTGGGTGTGTCTTGTTCCCGAACACTTCGGGGAGTCTCGTGAGTATTCGCTTTCTCCATCATCTTCAGCAGCTGGATGATTTACCCAGTACAGCTGGGGTGCTGCTATTCTCGCATACATGTATAGGAGCATGTGCCGGTCGAGCATGGGCCCAGCGGTGAACATATGTGATTTTCTGCCCCTCCTACAGGTGATAACATTTTCAAATACTCTGTTCATTACTCCGAATTCTATATGGTCGAAATGACTCATAAATTTTACATCAATCTTTTATCTTAGGTTTGGGCCTGACAGCGGATCATGTCATTGCAACCACCTCTACCACCACTTGCTCCCGGTGAGGCTTATCCGTTTCTCCCTCTAGCTTCTAGGTGGATTCTTCGGCGTGGGTACTACCGAGGGACAGATGCTCATCATAATCTCCCCCTTGTCATGGATGTGCTAGATATGCTTGTGGACGGACAGGTAAATATGTACCTGCACTTACTTGTTTTAAATTGAGTTGTGTTGCGCATACTCACTTTTATGTTATTATTTGGTAGTTCATCTGGATGCCATTCAGCAACGAGTTGCTAGCTCAGCTGCCCGTTTATTGCTTAGTCGATCGACTGCTTTGGAGCACCTCCGTACCGATGATCTTATTCGATATGGTTGAGTATCATGCCATAGAGCGTGTACTTCGCCAGTTTTATCGCCCTTAGCCTATACCGGGGGAGCCTGGATGGGTGGCTACACACTATCAACGGGATGACCGTGCCAGGCTGGACGATATATATATGGGATGGCTAGAGCAGCATGTCCGTATTTGGCAGGAGCGAGCTGACCGTATTCCGCCAACACCTACATTTACCTAGGAGGCCACTATTCATCTGTATGCGTCATGGTACCGCCGTCACACTCGACTGATTATCGGGAACCTCATTCATGTACTTGGCGAACGCTACAGACCATACGCTAGGAGGAACGAGGCACTGGTATGTTTTTTGGTTTATTAATATCGTATAATTATGATATAGCATTACTTAATTAATATTTTAAATGTTTCACAGGCTATTGGGCATCATCACCTCTACCAGTTGGGATAGGAGATGCAGCAGCATACCGACATCTCTACAGTCGTTGACTATGGACGGCGGGTTGCATAGTTGTCTCGTCGGACCCTGTTTCAGGCGAGAGATGCCGCGAGGTTGGAACACGAGGCTCAGTATACGGCGTTAGAGGACTACTATCGGGGTAGGGGTGTCTCACGAGTCAGTGGTAGGGCACGAGGGAGGGGTTCCCCACGAGGCAGGGGTGCCCCACGGGGTCGCGGGGGACGGCGAGGAGGTGGTCCCCAGCAAGGGGGCGTTGAGGCACCTGTCGACCCACCTGTTGAGGGACATGATTAGGACATTGGAGTTGAGGCGCTTGGAGATGATCAGCCGGGTTATATACCTCGGGTAGATGATCCTTCCAGCAGCATGCCTTCGTACAACCTTCAGCTATCTCTGCCAGCATCGCAGGTCACCCCGTCTGGAGCATTGTCGATCACGGGTACATTCGATAGGGATGTAGACCAGTACTTTGCATGCCCATCTACCGCAGCTGAGGATCGGCCCACCCAGGACGTGGATGGCAGGCGCAGGTTGAGTTATGCCTCATCCCCGACGGTTGATGCGGATCTACCACAAGCGCAGGTATGTTTGTATTACTTTAAAATTTCAATTTGTTTTCTTTTCCTTAATGAGCTGACATTAATTAATTTTTAACTTTCTTATGTAGGTTTTGTCCTAGCCCATCTTTGAGGCCACTACATGCTTTGATGAGGAAACCACGGATGCATATACTCAGGCGGCCGACGAGACCACGGTGAGAAAATGTTTTTTTGACTCAACACGTACAACACAAATATACTTTTTCACATGCTAAGATTACTACTTGTTTTGTAGGTTGCTGACTGTTCGACGGCATATTCTTCCGATCCTGCAAGCTGTGGTGTTGATGCTGCTACACATCCTCACATATAGAGGCGGCTTGATGACGATGATCCAGATAGTGTACCCGGGCAGCAGGGGATGCGACTTAGTCGGCAGTAGCACTAAAGCACACAGGCTGCGGGACTCACTAATTTACTTATGTTTTTACTTTGTGTAAATAGTGCAATATGTAAATAATGACAACAACTATTTTTTAACAACATTTTTATTTTAATTGCGTTTGAACAGCAATTTTACTTAAACAGTACACAAGAAATACAAACATTGCAAACGTAACACAAAAACAAACAGTAGAACTAAATCCATCACTGCACAAAAGATAACTAAAACCATAAAACGCATTAATATACCACGTTATACATATTAAATTTTTCTGCAATAAAGCAGCTTTTTTCACATGGTTTTTATTTTTTTCAGAACGACAAGACAACTCCATAAAATGCAGTACTATACCTCGCTTTATATATTAAATTTTTCTGCAATAAAGCAGCTTTTTTCACATGATTTTTATCTTTTTCAGAACGATAAGACAACTCCATAAAACGCAGTACTATACCACTCTTTATGTATTTTGTCTCGCCTATAAATAATGGCCTCATTGTAGTTATTTTGTGTGCTCAAAAATTAGTAAAAGCAAATATTTCATTAAAAGTAAGGGTTTTTTACTAAAAGCAAATATTTCATTAAATGGATCAACCTCTTCGTCCATCAAAGTGCAACTGTGGAAAAGAATGCTCAATGCAAAATTGTTGGAACGGTGGTGAAGTTGAACGCCGCTACTGGAGCTGTATGAACCAGTTATACAAGGTTCCCGGCGAACCTATTTATGATTTTGAGGAATGGGTTGATGAACCATGTTATCAGGAATGCTACAGAGAACAACTGCAGTTTCTTCATAATATGTGTTTATGCCAACGGGAAACACAAAGAGAAAGCGATAGAATTATTGTAGAAATGAAGGCGAAACTAAAGGAGGTGGGAGAAGAAAAATGGAAAGCACAATGGAATTGTGAAGCACAAAAGGAACGTACAAAAAAATATAAACGGGAAGTTGCGGAGGTGAAGGCGAAACTGAAAGAGATAGAAGAAGAAAAAGAACAAATGGAAGAACGATTTAAGTGGTTGGAACGGAGAATAAATGGCAACCGGGACTAAACATTGGCATGAATGTGTTTACTGTATTTTTCATATTTCATGTATTTTTATTATGTTGGCTTGTTATGTTTGTGTTTGTGTTGTAGTAATGTTTTATTTTAATTGAAGTGGCATGTATGACATGTATTGAAGTGGCATGTATGCCATGTATTGGCATGTATGGCATGTATGTGTACAAAATTTTATTTTAATTGAAGTGGAAGTTAAGTTTAAGTGCTTGTGTTGTTATATGAAACTATCAAACCACGCTTTACATATTACATTTTCCTACAATTAAACAGCTTTTTCTTCACTCATTCCAGATTGTGGAACATAATTTTATTTGATATATATTGCAACATACACAAGTACAAACACGTATTACAAAATAGTTGGGTACATTCGACGAACTTGCACCAGGAGTACATTCGACGAACTTGCACCAGGAGCCGAATTACCACGCCCACGCACACCACTTGAAGAACATTTACGACGGTCGTGTCCTGTTTGCGAGCATATGCCACATTTACGCGCATAAACGGTGTCACTAACATCCATTTGGTTCCGTATACGCGTTCTCTTTTGCACTTGCAGCTTGCGCAAATAGTCTTTGTTACATACCATCTTAAAAGTTTCCGGCGGCCAATAATACTCAGCACCTAATGGCTGCAACTTCCCACAATACGTGTCTATGTATGCAGCAACACTGTATTGCCTATCAATATAGTTTGTTGCCCCATATCCAACTTGTTGAAAGCACTTCAACGCATGTGCGCATGGCATGTGGTAGATGGTTCATTTCCCACATGAACATAACCTTCTATTTTCATTCACCGTCTGTAGATTATTCCCACGGTGTCCGCGAATAGCGGTCTTAACTTCAAAAATACCTCGTTCATGATCGTACTGAAGAAATGAATGCTACTGTGCTCGCCTCCTGGACCTTTCAAATCTTCTCATGGATATTGGCATTAATTGAATACCCCTATCCATCAATGTTGATGCAGTTGCATGCCTTTCAACAAACCTCTTCGCACTCCGTTTGAATATCATGCGGACCATGGCAGTGACAGGTAGTCCACGGGCAGACTTCAACAAGTCATTGAATGACTCCGACACGTTTGTAGTGAGGGCTCCCCATCGTCTGCCACCATCAGCATGCAATGTACACATGTGAAGCTCATGCCCCATCAACCAAGTATAGGCTTGTGGTTCTAATTGTCGGATCGCTTCCATGCGCCTCGTGAATTTGCACTGCTGGTGCTCAGTTGAATCCATCCACATTAAGTAATGCAAGGCCTTATCAGGATATTTCTTCAGGAAAATGGCCTTCAGGTGACGCACACAGTAACAGTGGTATGCATATGGTTCCTGCCATTCAGGCAAGTGACGTACAGAACTTAAAATACCACCATGCCGATCAGATATTAGACAAATACCTGAACGTTGTTTGACAAGGTGCTACTTCAAGTGGTTCAAAAAAAGCGTCCACGTCTCTTCGCTTTCGTTGACACATATGGTAAAAGCCAGTGGAAATATTTGCCCGTTGGCATCTACTGCAACTGCAATCAAAAGCTTAATATCATACTTTCCATAGACATGAGTATCGTCTATGGAAATAACAGGAGGACAATGCACAATACCATCAATTGCTGGTTTAAATGACCAGAACACATAGTTGAAAATATATTCGGGTCTGTCCGGACTCCGCTCACGCCTCCATTCAACAACAGTATCCGGGTTAAAGTGTTGCAGTGCGTCCATGTACCTGGGTAGATTTGAAAAAGACTTATCCCAGTCGCCATAAATAAGTTCAAAGGCACGTTTGCGACCGAGATATGCCTGTCTTTTGGTTATAGTACAACCATATTCCTGGTGGACGGCTGTAATACACTCTTTAATCTTGAACCTAATGGACACTTCCAAATATGGAATCAAGACAAGAGAAATCAAGTCCACATCCAAGTTAAAGTGATTCTCATTGTATGTGTCCATTTCATATCTGTGCTCGCTAATAAATTTACCCTCTTTTCACAAACCTGATTTCTTCT